CTCAACAATACACAACATTTACTCGAATATTATGTTACACAGCATCACGTAAGCATTATTTTCATGTGACAGATTTGTATTTTTTATAGATCTAAAAAAGAGGCCTTTTTTTATGAATAAAAAAAACGGACCCCGTGAATCAAAAAGGATTGGTTTGCATAAAATTACTAAAAATATTAGTGCGCCTACTGGCATAGACTAAAAAAATTTTTCACTAATAGAGTTATGGGAAATACTTCGAAAGAATGGCTCGAAAAAGCTATTAAAGAAGAACATATTAATTATATTGAATATAATAAATTTAAAAATCGTCAAGAAATTGGTAAAGGAGGTTTTGGATTGGTTTATAAATGCGAATGGAAAGACACCAAACTAATAGTTGCTCTCAAGTGTCTTAAAGAAAGTTTAACCGAAAAAATAAATAATGACTTTGTTAGAGAGGTATTATTAATTGAAACTTGAATGCTAGCAAATATAATAAATTATTTATAATTCATTTTATAAAAGCTTAAATCATTACGTAAAGTTGATTACCATCCAAATATTATTAAATTCTATGGAGTCACTAAAGGTATAGATATCGTTCAATAATTTATGAAAATATAGAATTTTTACAATAAATATATTAAGAAAATTGCTATAAATAAAACAGGCGAAAATGAATCTTTTATTATGATTTTACAATATGCTGATGGAGGAAACTTACGAAAATACCTGAAAGAACGAGAAGACCCGAAAGACAGTCTGCAGTGGCCAGAAAAATTAAAGATTGCTAAGAAGATAGCGCTTGGTCTTTTATTCTTACATGACAGAGAAATTATTCATAGAGATTTGGTAAGTATATTATATGATATTTTATATTACATGTTTATTAATTTAATTCAATAATGCTCCAATAATTTAGCATTCGATGAATATTTTAATTCATGAAAGAGAACCAATGATTGCTGATTTTGGACTGTCAAAGCAGATAAATGAAACATCAATTACTTCAGATTCTTATGGAATGGTGGCATTTACCGATCCTAAATGTCTTATTAACAATGAATATAAACTTGACATGAAGTCTGACATATATAGTTTTGGAGTAATCCTCTGGGAAATTTCAAGTGGTAAACCACCGTTTCTAAATGAATCACCATTAGCTATGGGTTTGAGGATATGTAAAGGAGAAAGAGAAAAGGCCATAGAAGGGACACCTAGTCAATATGAAGAACTTTACAAACAATGTTGGAGTATGGAACCTGCTGATCGTCCAACAACAAAAGAAATTCACGAAACTTTGGAACTCATTACCAGTAAAGATTTAGAATTCATTAGTCAAAAAGATTCAAGTCATAGTATACAAACACTAAAAGATTCTCAGAAGAGTGACTTGAATACATACCGGGGAGAAATGCTAAATCAAGAACAATTAAGTGAATTAAGTAAAATACAAAATCAATTCTTTTCCGATATTGATGAAACTGAAGAATTTAATGAAGCCCTGAATCTATATGTAAAGCCACAAGGAAAGTGGGATGTGTCAATTATAAAATCAGTAGGTAATAAAAAGGAAATGGTTTCCGAAGTTAGAAATGGAGATGTCGAAAAAGTAGTTGATGGCTTTTTAGAATCAAGGGATAAACTCTCCTCAGATGATCTAGAGATTCTAGCCAATGAACTTTTGAATTCAAATGATAAAACATCTTTAATAAATAAAGTTAACAGCATTTTTGCATCGGAAAATCAATTAACTTTGGAAGACGAAGCGGTTCTAGACATGGCAGCAAATCAATTTTTGTATTTAAATTCTAAGAATACATTGAAGATTTTAAAGATAGTAGTCAACGAATTTTTGGATTCTCCAAAAACTGAAACACTAACAAAAGCAATCAATAATTATTTAAATAATCCTAATGTAATTAATAACATTACTAAGAATCTGAATAAAATAATTCTAGATAAAGAAAATGTAAAGTTTCTTAAACTGGAATCAATGAATTATCTAGTATTAAAAGATAAAGAAAAATTTGAAAATGCGTGTAGTAAATTACTGGATTTAAACGCCAAGAAAATTCTAGAAACAGCAGTTAATAACATCCTGGCCTCGAAGTGTAAAAAAGTACTATTAATATTAGGTGAGGGAGGAACGGGTAAATCGACTTTTAACCGTTATCTTGCTCGTCGTCTGTGGGAAGAGTATGACCTATCGAATATGACGCAACCAATTCCTTTATTTATAGCATTAGCGCAATTGAAAGTAGGAATGATAAATCGAAATCAGGATTTTATTGAAATTTATTTAGAAAAAAAATATAAATTATCCCCGGAAACTATTGATGTTTTACGTAAAAGAAAGTTTGTATTTATTTTAGACGGATATGATGAGATTTCCGAACGTGAACGTCAGTGCTACGAAAGCAACAAATTTAATGAATGGAAAAATGCGAAAGTTATCATCAGTTGCCGACCAGAATACTTAGGTTCAGGCTATAAAAATAAGTTCTTACCCAAAAATGGTGAAAAAAGGATTTCAGGAATTGACGATCACACCATTTTCGCAGACTGAAATACGACAATATATCATGAAATATACTGAAGATAAACAAAATAAAGGACATTTTCAAGAATGGGATGCAGACACGTATATACAGACAATAGAGAAGATTCCGCAAATAGAAGAGATGGTTAGCAATCCTATTTTATTAAAGATTACTTTGACTGTCTTACCGGACCTTGTTAAGCAAGAGGGAACAATAGACCGTCAAATAAATCGTATAGTTTTATATGACAAATTTTTTGAGACATGGTTTAGCCGTGCACAAAATCGCCTGTTAAACATTCAACTAAATGATAAGGAAACAGAAGCGTTTAATTACCTATGTTCAGAAGATTT